GAGTCCCGGACCCAGTGGCTTAAACTCATGCTGGGTGTGTGTGCGTGCATGCCCAAGATCCCAAGAGGAGAATGGAGAAGGGATTGCGGTGTGGCCCCCCTGGGGGGGGGTGATTTCTTACTTTCTGTCTCTCTGTCTCTGTCTTTCTGGTGAGTGCACGGGCCCTATAGCAAAAAAAACAAAAACAAAAACAAACAATGATCTCGTATGGTTCAATCTAATAAACCAATGAATATTACTTGTTCAAATAAAAAAGAGAGAAAGGATTATAGGAGCTATGTGCTATTGTGAGATTCGATCATTCATTTGTTCCCAGTTTCCCCCTGCATGGTGTGCCTGCGGCGTACTGGGTGCAGTTCTCGTGGACTACAGTTGGGATATGGTAAAGTCCCTACATTCGTGGAGCTCAGCTTCTATTGCAGGGACAGGGGACCAGCAGATGGTGTAATGGCTATGTCGCTGGACTCCCACGTAGTTGACTGTGGCTTAAACTCATACCCGGCACGTGTGCATGCGTGCCCAAGATCCCAAGAGGAGAATAAAGGAGGAGACTGCGGTGTGGCCACTCCCCCTGTGGGGTGATTTCTCCTTTCTTTTTCTGTCTTTCCAATGAGAACACTGCCCCTATAGCAAAAATCTGTTATTTGAAAATAAATATTCTATTGCAGGGACAGAAGGAAAGGCAAAAGTCTGTATTTTAACATCTGGTAATAAATGCTATAGGGGCTGACAGGTAGCGTGGAGGTTAAGGTGCTGGACTACCACATGGCTGACCACGGTTCTAGTCCCAGACATGGTAGCTTGCTTTCTCGCTCTCCTTTTCTCTCTCTGATCAAATTCAAAATATAATAAATAAAATTAAATAAATAATGAAAAAAAATGCTACGGAGAAAAACAAGACAAAAAGACAACGGAACTGGGGGATGATGTTGAGATATGGTAATGAGGATGGTTTCTCCAAGTAGGTGGTGTTGGAACAGAGGCTTTAATGAAATGAGGGGTAAGCCTCACAAAGACTTGGGAGATGTGTCCCCGTTGGAAGAGATGGCAAGTGCAAAGGACCTGTGTGACTCTCTACCTCACTCAGCGCACCAAGAAACACATCTGGCACACAGCAGAAGCTTCAACGTGGCACAGATGAATGTGCACACCGACTTTCACATCTGTTACTCCTGTTATCGGGCACCTTCTTTCCTTTGCTGACCACCCAAGGGCCTCCTTTTCTTGAAACATCCCTCCCAAGTTGTGTGCCGTGAAGTCCCGCGTGAGCCCGAGTTGTGTGCCGTGAAGTCCCGCGTGGGCCCGAGTTGTGTGCCGTGAAGTCCCGCGTGGGCCCGAGTTGTGTGCCGTGAAGTCCCGCGTGGGCCCGAGTTGTGTGCCGTGAAGTCCCGCGTGGGCCCGAGTTGTGTGCCGTGAAGTCCCGCGTGGGCCCGAGTTGTGTGCCGTGAAGTCCCGCGTGGGCCCGAGTTGTGTGCCGTGAAGTCCCGCGTGCGCCCGAGTTGTGTGCCGTGAAGTCCCGCGTGGGCCCGAGTTGTGTGCCGTGAAGTCCCGCGTGCGCCCGAGTTGTGTGCCGTGAAGTCCCGCGTGGGCCCGAGTTGTGTGCCGTGAAGTCCCGCGTGCGCCCGAGTTGTGTGCCGTGAAGTCCCGCGTGGGCCCGAGTTGTGTGCCGTGAAGTCCCGCGTGGGCCCGAGTTGTGTGCCGTGAAGTCCCGCGTGGGCCCGAGTTGTGTGCCGTGAAGTCCCGCGTGGGCCCGAGTTGTGTGCCGTGAAGTCCCGCGTGGGCCCGAGTTGTGTGCCGTGAAGTCCCGCGTGGGCCCGAGTTGTGTGCCGTGAAGTCCCGCGTGGGCCCGAGTTGTGTGCCGTGAAGTCCCGCGTGGGCCCGAGTTGTGTGCCGTGAAGTCCCGCGTGGGCCCGAGTTGTGTGCCGTGAAGTCCCGCGTGGGCCCGAGTTGTGTGCCGTGAAGTCCCGCGTGGGCCCGAGTTGTGTGCCGTGAAGTCCCGCGTGGGCCCGAGTTGTGTGCCGTGAAGTCCCGCGTGGGCCCGAGTTGTGTGCCGTGAAGTCCCGCGTGGGCCCGAGTTGTGTGCCGTGAAGTCCCGCGTGGGCCCGAGTTGTGTGCCGTGAAGTCCCGCGTGGGCCCGAGTTGTGTGCCGTGAAGTCCCGCGTGGGCCCGAGTTGTGTGCCGTGAAGTCCCCTTAAAACTCACGCCGGGCGCGTGTGCATGCGTGCCCAAGATCCCGAGAGGAGAATGGAGGAGAAGGGATTGCGGCGTGACCATCCCCCCTGGGGGTGATTTCTCGCTTTCTGTCTCTCTGTCTCTCTGTCTGTCTGGCGAGCGCATGCGCCCTATAGCAAAAACCTCTCCAAAAAAGAAAAAAAAAACTGCTCACAGGGTGGTTTTCTGTGTACAACAATGGAGCCCTCCACAGTACTCCATCAGCTTTTTCCTCGGCTCTGTGTCATTCTTTCCCCAACTCTGGGTTAGTCACTCTCAGTGGAGACACTTGCCACTTGGCCTTCAGGTCCTTTGTCGGCCCTCTCTGGGTCATTTTCCTTATTGGTTATTTGGGTCAAGCCATTTCCATGCTTTATCTAAGTAGTTTTGTTGGCTTTTCTTTTTTTGTTTAAGAGAGAGATTTTTGCTGCTGGATGAGTGTACTCACTGGGGAGACAAAAAGGGAGAAGCCCCCCCCGGGGGGGGGAGGGATGTCCACACCACAGTCCCTTCTCTAGTCTCTCGGGATTTGGGGCACACATGCACACACACCCACCGCGAGTTTCAAGCTGCCATGTCCAGGACTTGAACTGCAGTTGGCCATGTGGGAGTCCAGTGATGTAACCATTATGCCATCGGCTGGTCCTTATTTTTGTGTTTCAAAGTGTAACTATTGGGAATGATCTCGTTGCCTAACTCCCATTTGTCTGTCAAGTCTTAGCTCTTCCTTCAAGTGATTTTCCTTGACCATCCTGACTAGGTTGGTTCAGGATTATAGGAGCTATGGGGAACAGTAGGTGGCATGGTGGTTAAGAGCACTGGATTCCCACATGACTGACTGCAGTTCGAGTCCCAGACCTGGGACAAAAAACAGGGACCAGCAGTTGATGTAATGGCTATGTCACTGGACTTCCATGTAGTCGACTGCGGTTTGAGTCCCGGACCCAGTGGCTTAAACTCATGCTGGGTGTGTGTGCGTGCATGCCCAAGATCCCAAGAGGAGAATGGAGAAGGGATTGCGGTGTGGCCCCCCTGGGGGGGGGTGATTTCTTACTTTCTGTCTCTCTGTCTCTGTCTTTCTGGTGAGTGCACGGGCCCTATAGCAAAAAAAACAAAAACAAAAACAAACAATGATCTCGTATGGTTCAATCTAATAAACCAATGAATATTACTTGTTCAAATAAAAAAGAGAGAAAGGATTATAGGAGCTATGTGCTATTGTGAGATTCGATCATTCATTTGTTCCCAGTTTCCCCCTGCATGGTGTGCCTGCGGCGTACTGGGTGCAGTTCTCGTGGACTACAGTTGGGATATGGTAAAGTCCCTACATTCGTGGAGCTCAGCTTCTATTGCAGGGACAGGGGACCAGCAGATGGTGTAATGGCTATGTCGCTGGACTCCCACGTAGTTGACTGTGGCTTAAACTCATACCCGGCACGTGTGCATGCGTGCCCAAGATCCCAAGAGGAGAATAAAGGAGGAGACTGCGGTGTGGCCACTCCCCCTGTGGGGTGATTTCTCCTTTCTTTTTCTGTCTTTCCAATGAGAACACTGCCCCTATAGCAAAAATCTGTTATTTGAAAATAAATATTCTATTGCAGGGACAGAAGGAAAGGCAAAAGTCTGTATTTTAACATCTGGTAATAAATGCTATAGGGGCTGACAGGTAGCATGGAGGTGCTGGATTACCACATGGCTGACCACGGTTCTAGTCCCAGACATGGTAGCTTGCTTTCTCGCTCTCCTTTTCTCTCTCTGATCAAATTCAAAATATAATAAATAAAATTAAATAAATAATGAAAAAAAATGCTACGGAGAAAAACAAGACAAAAAGACAACGGAACTGGGGGATGATGTTGAGATATGGTAATGAGGATGGTTTCTCCAAGTAGGTGGTGTTGGAACAGAGGCTTTAATGAAATGAGGGGTAAGCCTCACAAAGACTTGGGAGATGTGTCCCCGTTGGAAGAGATGGCAAGTGCAAAGGACCTGTGTGACTCTCTACCTCACTCAGCGCACCAAGAAACACATCTGGCACACAGCAGAAGCTTCAACGTGGCACAGATGAATGTGCACACCGACTTTCACATCTGTTACTCCTGTTATCGGGCACCTTCTTTCCTTTGCTGACCACCCAAGGGCCTCCTTTTCTTGAAACATCCCTCCCAAGTTGTGTGCCGTGAAGTCCCGCGTGAGCCCGAGTTGTGTGCCGTGAAGTCCCGCGTGCGCCCGAGTTGTGTGCCGTGAAGTCCCGCGTGGGCCCGAGTTGTGTGCCGTGAAGTCCTGCGTGGGCCCTGCCCTCAGCACTCTCAATTGCGCCCACCAGCCCACAGCACCCGTGCTCACTGTGCGAGTCTAATGGCTGCGAGTTCAGGAGTGGATGTAATGAGGTAACTTTCAGTTGGACTCTTCGGGAGATGAACACTCCGAGGCCACAGCCGTGGACGGCTGCGTGATACAAAATGATATGATCGTACCTTTGGGTCAAGCTCCCTTTACCCTTCAGCCCCCTGGGGAGGACATGGAGCAGTGTGCTCACTCCAGCGGCCCAGTACCTGCGTCTGCTTTACAGGATTCATGCTTGTGGCAATAAGGGACATCTGCCCTGTAGCTTCACCAGCAGCTGCCACTCTAACTTCTGTGACAACAGCCTTGATTATATGAGAGGCCTTCAACAAGTTGATGGAAAATTCATATTATCAAAAACTATATGTTGAATTCCATTTTTTTCTTGCACCAAAATAAACTTGTACTTTTAATTTTACTTTTCCATAAATTTTTTCAAATTTTATTTTACTTAATTTTATTCATTGTCATTATTTTATTTTATTTTATTTTATTTTTAAAGTTGACCAGAGAGAGACAGAGAAAGGAAAGTGAGAAAACAAGCTGCCAGGTCCAGGACTCAAACTGCAGTCAGCTGGGACCAGCAGTTAGCATAATGGCTATGTCACTGGACTCCCACATAGTTGACCGTGGTTCACGTCCCGGACCCGGTGGCTTAAAACTCACGCTGGGCACGTGTACGTGCATGCCCAAGATCCCCAGAGAATGGAGGAGAAGGGATTGCGGCGTGGCCATCCCCCTGGGGGGTGATTTCT